CCCCAAAACCCCAAAACCCCAAAACCCCAAAACCCCAAAACCCCGTATAGTGGCAATATAATTAAAAGTTGTAATTTTATAATTTTGTAAAATATTATACATCATATGTTATATGGAAGAGCTAGGTCAGGACCATTATCAAACTTCCGTCTTATAATAGCAAGAAGACCACAGTCTGTTATCAAACCGAAGATGGAAACTTCCAAAGCTATTGATATTGATAATACTGAGACAAAAGATAACACTTTGAAACATATGAACGAGATGAAAAAGGGATTTACGATGAAGTCTTTCCTTGACTTAACCAAGTTCCGCTTATCTCAATATAATACTCTTGCATCGTATGCAATGTATCTTTACTACGTTCCATCATTTATGGCTTATGATTCCCTTGTGTTCCTGACTGCTACCCAATTAATCACAATGTCCTCTCAGGCATACAATCAAACAGTTGAGGGAGATTATGACAGCAAAATGAGAAGAACACAAAATAGGCCTGTTGCTAAAGGGCTCATTAGTAAACAGACCGGAGGCTTGATCTCGGCCACCCTCGCTCTGAGTAGTATGGCTGTATATATGCAATTAGCAAATCCTTCCTCTCTTCTGGTAGCAAACTCAATTTGGATTGGCTACTGATTGATCTATACACCGATGAAGAGATATTCAGTTCATAATACTATTGTCGGAGCTGTGATAGGTGCTCTACCTCCATTTATAGGTACATGAGCAGCAGTCGGAAGTCTATTTACTCCAGAGACGATGTTGTTGGCTGCCTACATCTTCTCGTGGCAATATCCTCACTTTTATGGGATTCTTTATGAAAACAGGTATGACTACAAAAAGGCAGGATATGAGATGATAAGTAATTCTGACATAGATGGAGTGAAGGCTACGAGGCATATTAAGTTCTCTGCAATTCTAGCTCTGACGACTCCCCTAGGAATGGCATACACTGGTCTAATGTCAGCATACTTTTTGCCTGCTTATTATGTTCTCTATGCTCAAAACTTAAAAGCAGTAAAAGAGTTTAGTGAGAATTGAAATGAGCAGAACGCAAAGAAAATGAAAATGAAGAGCTACACTCCATTCTTTGTCCTGCTCGCTGGTATCTACTCTACTATAATCTACAACAAAGTTCGGAATAAGTCTAAGAAAGCTGAATTATCTTCCTAATTCCTTTAATGAATCTGTAATCACCTCGTTTCAAATTGAAAAACTCTCAAAGGGGTTTTGGGGTTTTGGGGTTTTGGGGTTTTGGGGTTTTGGGGTTTTGGGG